ATAAAGATTTGACATCATTTTGCAGGTATACGGACGTATAGCGCAATCTCACAGATTTTTTCCAAGTCTTACGGATATTTTAAAAACCTCTGCAGCTGGGCAGGGCAGCTCTCTGTGGTTGTACTGACTGGGAGAGAGAGTGTGCCCCGGCTGGGCAGTGTAGGGAAACGTTCCTGCACTGTTTGTCCAAAAGTGGTGGAAGTGTTTTTGTGACAAATTTACAAAATAATTCTTCTCCTCGTTATCCAGCGCCAACACAAGATTTTCCTCTTCCAAGTCCTCCATCATCAGCAAAGTATACATCCACTTTGCTATCTGTTTGCTGTTTGCATGTGACTTTTGGGTACCAGGACTCCTCCCTCACAGCTTCTCCTTGAGTATGAATTGTTCATGCAAAAAAGACTGTCAGAATCACGTCAGTTTGATCGGATGTTGAGTAAAACCAGTCCTCCAAAGGCTTTGATTTACTGGAACTCATGCAACTTGTGCTAACAGATTGCCACATTGATTATTTAGTTAAATTTGTTGTTCATAATACTCTTTTAAAGCTAAAAAGTGAAAAGCAGAAGTCTTCCAAAAAATAACAGAACTGTTTTCGGAAGTGTGGTTATTCAGGAATTTCCCCCTGGAGCCACCAAATCACAACAATACTTACCAATAATGAATGTAGAGATTACAAAAAATATTTATTTCCAGACACCCCCCCCCCCCTTAAGCATTTTGCAATAATTTGCCCAAACCACATTCTAAAAAGGCATAAAATATATCTATTAGGGCTGTGTATTGGCAAGAATTTGGCGATACAATACATATCATAACAGAGGGTTCATGATACGAAATATCCCGATATATTGCAATACTGTAAGCAAGGCGATATAGTGCGATTTTTTTTGTCCAAAAATTCTATTAAATAAAAACCTCTTACTGAAAAAAAAGAAAAGCTAATGTTTACTCACAATGCTAATGCTACCCTTACTCTCTGGCGCTCAAGAGGTAGAGTAGCCAAATGGCTGGTTCACTGCTGCCAACTAGTGGTCAGAGGCTGAACTACAATATAAAAATGAACTGTTGGCAAGAAGGTTGACATTTTAAACCTTAATTAAAAATCGATACAGGGCTTTAGAATATCGATACAGTATCGGGAAATGAAATATCGTGATATTTCAGTGTATTGATATATTCTTACACCCCTAAAATCCATGCTATGGGGCTGGGTGATTATTTAATCGCGATTATTGCAATTATTTAATTGGCAAGTGTGCACACATTGTTGCTGTTTTGTAGGGTTTGTGTTTCTTTATGACATATTTAATGTGAAATTTAATTCTAAAACTTTAATTTTACAAAAGGATAACTTTATTAATGTGAGATTCCATGATTTACACGTTTTTTTTCTTGGTAAATACTGTTTAAAACACCTTGCAAAAATAATTTAATGTTCTACTGAACTACAGCTATTTGTTGTATTAGCGAAAGCGAAATAATGGCCTTTTTTTCTGTAGCTATTTATTTGTTAAATTATTTTTCAGTCACTTTTTAGATTAACAAAAAAATTGCGATATTAATTGAGATTGGATGACATGAAAAAATTAATGGTGATCATTTTTCTTTGCCATATCGCCCAGCCCTAATATGCTATAAATTACAACATACTTTTTTGTTTTTAGAAGTTAAAATGGTCTGAAATCCAAATGTATTTTAAAAACAACAATAATCTGATATTTGAAGGTAGCTGTTATTATCGTCTTGTTGTTCAAACCAGTCTGTTTTTCTCAGTTTTCATAAATAATGTTGTCCCTGATCCACTGCACAGCCTCTCTGTTATGTTTTTTATTATTCCTGTGCTGATTTTTATTTGCATGTTGCTTCACAGAAACAGCTGGGAGAGAGTTTGGAGAGGCAGCACTTGAGGAAGGAGGACATCGGCAGCAGCATTCACAAAGACAAAGACAAGATGAACATCATAAAGGTACACCTGTCTGGGAGTCCAAACACACAGCAGCACTTACAGATGGAAATAAAATAAACATGTCCTCCTTTGTGATTAGTGGTGTTTATAGATGTGTTGACAGTTTGATTTTTAGAAATGATTATTCTCTGAAGGGCATATAGATTTAGGTTGTCAGCTGTGAATAATAATAATAATAATAAAGTGTTATGCCTACAAAAACCTTTTTTCTTTTAAAACAATGTGTGAAACTGCACCTGCAGAGGTGACAAACAACATCTCATCTGAAGTACAATAGGCAGATGAGAGGTAGTCTGTGTATGTTGGGCTCAAAAGATGGGAAAACCGTTTCTAATGAGAAAAACAAACAAACACTGTTTGATAAATAACATCTTTGAATCGTTGGCTTTTTTCAAACACAATATTGTCTGCATAAACTTTAACATCTTAACTTTTTGATCAAGTAACACACACTTTCACTCTTAACATGGCACAAATATAACCAACTGCAATGGCACACACACACACACACACACACACACACACACACACACACACA